ACCATGTACCTCCTGATTGATCGACGTTTTATCATTATCAGTTTACTGGAAATATTATTGCTACACAATTATTATGTGTAGCACTGTGGTTTACTTATTTTAGCTAATTAGTAAAATAATATGTACCTGATCAGACATAATAATTGTGTAGCAATAATATTTCCAGTAAACTGATAGTGATAAAACGTCGATCAATGAGGAGGTAAATGGTACCTGAAATATTGCTAGCCGGATGTCGACTCTTCGCTTGACACGGCAAATACTGGAAGTGGGCGTGGCCTGCCTGTGTACTTGTCTGCCCAAAGCGATCGCCATGCTTGTTCTATAAATTGAAAACAAGTATGGCGGTTGTTTTGGGCATTACCTTTTTTTTATTTAATTATTTCTGAAGTTTTGTAATCGGAGTTCAGCTTTAATTCGGAGAGAACATTTGTTCCCAATACTACTGGTACAGAGGGATTATATTTACTTACCGGAATGACTAAAAACATACAGGTTAATTTATCACTTCCATCAACACCAACCGTTTCTAAATCGGAATGACTAAAAACATACAGGTTAATTTATCACTTCCATCAACACCAACCGTTTCTAAATCAGCCTCAATATATCCAGAATACGCTAACTTGTTACCATCGGCACTCCCATGGTCTAAAATTGTTTTAAGTTGATGCAATGTTAAATTAGATAATTTTGATTTATAAAAGTCTTCGTTTATGGTTGAAATAAAAACGTTCGGTCATGAGGTATAACTTCCGGTTTTATTAAGAGTGCAAAATGACAGATTTTTCCACTTTAATAGGTATTGGATGTTACTATACCCAATAATTCATGGTGTAACTTGAATGTTGACGTGACGTGACGTGACATAACGGAACACGTTAGTACTCCGCTGGAGTTTTAGTTATTTTTTTAATTAGTTAGTACTCCGCTGGAGTTTTAGTTATTTTTTTTTCTTTGGGCGGGGGTGGGGAGGAGGTAGTCAGTTTGTGCAGCCAAAACTGTGCATGGTGCAAACATTCTGTCAACGTAGATGTTGGCCTCGCTGGATCAGTTTATGTTTATTAAATATAAGTTGGGTCATTTTTGACAAACAGGAAGTGTTTTACGGATAGGGCAAAAATAATCTCAGATTGCCCATATCTCGGTTATTTCTCAACGAATTGTCTTCGGGTTTTCATTTTTTTTCTATTCTTTGGGCTCTGACTGACGGTTTTTCGAAATTCGGAAGTTGGCTCGATTAGATTTAGAATCAAAGTTTTTGCGAAAGTTTTCTTCATCATTTTTTCGACATTCAAGATGACGTATCTCCGTCACTGTTTGAGGTATCAAGTTGAAACTTGGTAGGAAGAAGGAACACATCGAAGGCCTTTAAAATGGCATGTTCAAATTTTTTGTGACCACGTCCGGAAACTTACGAAAATTACCGAGGTCTTCCGATTTTTCCCGAACATCAATAGTTCTCTCCATTTTAAAAATAGACCAAAAATAACATATGGTGGTGTTAGCCCCAGATATTATCTTTCCCTTTCAGAGACCTTGTTCCATAACATACGAAACTTACGAAAATTACCGAGGTCTTCCGATTTTTCCCGAACATCAATAGTTCTCTCCATTTTAAAAATAGACCAAAAATAACATATGGTGGTGTTAGCCCCAGATATTATCTTTCCCTTTCAGAGACCTTGTTCCATAACATTTTCAACCGTTTGGCGGCCATATTGGATTTCACCGAAAATCTTCAAATCGATATTCAGCCGCCATTTTGATACAGATTTTCGAAGAAAAAAAATTATTTGGAACCTATTCAAAATAGCAACAATGCTTAGGGAGCCGATTTTTAAATTCCATATACTTCCGGTTTCACTTTGAATTTTCTTTGAATGTTCAACTTCAGTCAAGGTAGAACAATGGATTTTCCGAACAGCAGTCTCATGGTTTTCCATCAAAAATTGGTTTTGTAATTTGAGAACCAAGTACCTAATACTGTAAAATGAAATAGACCAATAAATTTTTACTTGAAATTACATTTACATACTAATTTGCTTTTTATATGCCCATATTTTCATGTGAATGCACATTGTCGTCGGCCCTGTCCGTCCGTCCTTTTGTGGACACTCTACAGGTCACAATTGTTACCCGATTTTGACGAAACTTGAAATATAGGTTTATCTCCAAAAGATCTTGGTTTCTTTCGATATTGGCATGTATCGGACTGTAACTTTATGGATTATGGTCCCTGATTGTATGAAAAAATCTCTTTTTAGCTTGTGGACCCTCTAGAGGTCACAATTTGGGTCCGATTTTGATGAAACTTAAATTATATCTTTATATCCTTTCGATATTCGCGCATATCGAACCATGACTTGCTGGATTATGGCCCTTGATTGTATGAAAAATCGCGTTTTTAGCTTGTAGACCCTCTAGAGATCACAATTTTTGTCCGATTTTAAAAACCGTTTAAATATATTACCGTTACTCCCTAATGACGGTTGAGTTCGAATTTCGTGAAAATCTGACCGAAACTACCCGACAAAATGGCCGCTCCTTGTATGCAAATGGTGTAAAAGTATGTAATACCATGGACAGGCAACGTCCACGAAGCCTTTAGAATTCTGTGCCGCGGCAAAAAATAGACCGGACAATCGTGACTAAAATAAAATTACCTTCATTCGCGCAATTACCAGTATTAAGTTTAAAAGCAAAGAAACAGAAATCAATTCATAATATTTGCTACCTACTAAAACACTCTTTTGATTTTTACTTCTGCACGATTAATCATGATTCGGACAGTATTATAGCTAAACTCTATTTTCATAATTTTAAAATCCTTCATACATGCGGGAATTTGCAGTATTAATCAAAACCAAAATGCTTACAAAAACTACGAAAATAATGAAATCGATCATTTCACAATTTTCAACTGCTGCATTTGGAAATTTCAAAGTTCTAAACTGGAGAGATTCGTCACTACCGGATAGGAATACTTATCGGGTTGAAAGATTACCACGTAACCATACGAATACCGTAAATTCTAAGGAGGAGTTCGAGAAATTAATCTGTATAAAATCCTGCAATGTCAAAGATCTCGTCGTCTCCCACGCGAGCGGCAGAGAATCCAACCAACGGGACTCATTGCCTGTCCATCTATATACGGTCCATGGTAATACCAAGGCTGTGGAGCCTCTAGAGGTCACAATTGTTATCCGATTTTGATGAAACTTAAAATATATGTTTATATCCTACAGATCTCGGTTCCTTTCGATGTTTGCGCATATCTGACTGTAACGTCGTGGATTATAGCCCCTGATTGTACAAAAAAATCACCTTTTTTGCTAGTAGACCGTCCCCAGATCACAATTTTTATCTGATTTAAAAAAAAAACGTTTAAAATATTTTAGCGTTACACCATAATGACGGTTAAGTTCGAATTTCGTCAAAATTGGACCGAAACTGCCCGACAAAATGGCCACTCCGCGTACGCAAATAGTGTAAAAATATGTAATACCAAGGTTGTGGACCCTCTAGGGGTAACAGTTTTCATCCGATTTGATGAAACTTAAATTATATGTTTACATCCCAAAGATCCCGGTTGCTTTCGATATTTGCATATATCAGACCGTAACTTCCTGGATTATGACCCCTGATTGTACGAGAAATTGCTTTTTATCCCCCACCTTTTGAAGAAAGCAGGGACTATTAAAATGGATTCGTCCGTATGTCTGTCTGTCTGTCACACATTTTTGGGACACTTTAACCCTCCTTCTAACTGAGCTAGAAAGTTCAAACCTGGTGTAGGTGTTTATAAGGTCGAAGATGAGCATTTTCTGCTTAGTGTAAGCAGAAATAAGCAATTTGATTGGTTGATGCCTTTGGGATACAATAACTTTAGTTCTAAATAAATGAGAGTGAGTGATCAAACTTGGTGTATAGTTTCATTATATCAATACCTTGACTAAGTTCGATAATGAACATTTTCTGCTAAGGGTAAGCCGAGCGATAAGCAATTTGATTGGCCGAGACTTTGGAACACAATAAATCTCAATGTTCACACTTCAGTAGGTGTTTATTAGGTGAATGCCTTAATGGAGTTCGAAGATGAGAATTTTATGCTACTTTTTTTTGGAAACAATAACTCCCCTTCTAATTGAGGTAGAATGTTCAAACTTGGTGTAGGTGTATATTATGTCAATATGTTATGCCGAGAGTAAGCAGAGTGATAAGCAATTTGATTGGTGGAGACTTTGAAATACAGTAACTCTCTTAATTGAGGTAGAATGTTCAAACTTGGTGTAGGCGTTCATTGGTTGAATGCCTTGAAGGATTTCGATGATGAACATTGTCTACTTACGGTAAGTAGAGATAAGCAATTTGATTGGTTGATGTTTTTGGACACGATAACTTTGCTCTAATTGAGAGCCATGAAACTCCGAGTATAGATTCATTATATCACTACCTTGACTAAGATTGATGAGAATTGTCTGCTTAGGCGAAGGAGCGATACGCAATTTTATTGGTCAAGACTTTAGAACATAACTCTGTTTTTAATTGAGGTAGAATGTTTAAACTTGAAGTTGATTTTCATTATTAAGTGAATGTCTTGACTGAGTTCAATGATTAACATTTCCCGCCAAAGCTAAGCAGAGCTAATTAGCCATTTCTTTGACTTTGATTCTATCTGATAGACAGTGATGAAACTTAGTGTATAGTTGATAATCAGTTTGTTTGCTCGATACTTTTGACAATGATAAACGTGCAATTAATTGATACGTGTCATCTATTTATTTCGTGATTTCGGCGAGGGACATCTGCCTCACTGTTGGCTTGTTTTTTTCTCTTTTTTTTTAGCATGTTCTCTGTCAGTCTCTTGCAAAATATGGGCGTATCTTGCTTGTCTTAAACATAAAGGATACAGTGCTCATTAACAGCATTTAAATTATGTTAAATGTTACCGAGATGAATACACAATATGAATAATAATATATTATTATTTTTTAAAGGTAGAGATTGTAGAAATGGAAGACATGGATCAACATTATTTATATATAGGACATTTTATGGACTATTACTCTAATTATCATGTTTTATTTCCTCTGATTAATTCCTCACCGACAGCTATCGTACAGGGACTTAGTAACAATGTTTTTGCTTATTTTGGCATTCCTAAAGTATTAATGTCATCAAGAGGTAACAACTTTTTGTCTGAAGTTATAGAAAAAATACACAAAGACTGGCCCAGTAAGTATCTTTTTTTTAAGAGTGTGTCCACGAGAGCACCCAGATATATCCCCACAAAATATTCGGTTGATTCAGTTTATACCAACCTGGCAAATTGGTAAAATATTTTTTTAACAGAAAAATACTCAAAAAATGGGCTAATTTGGAACTAAATTTGTATGATCTGTTATTCGGACAATAATTGATTAGTAGGACCACCCATGTTCCTTCTACACACAGAGTTTTAAGTTTCTACTGCCAATGATATCTTGGTACTGGCCAGATACGGTACTCAACTCGCTCTGAAAATTGAATTTAATGAAAATCAAAGTGTGAGAGGTTACAGTTCGTTCTTGGCAGGGACTAGGACCAAAGTTGAATGTTACCCACAACTAGCAACCTTCCTACTAACAAAATAAAAGATAAAAATGATTGGCACAGACATAATAAAGAAAGCAGAAATAAATTAAAAACATCCAAAATTGGGATAAAATGTCCCGTTTGTCAATACCCCAGATGAAGAATATGTATGTACATCTTTACAAATTTAAAATATTCCATTTAATCATTAGCAAGGATGATTTAAGACTTGAGAGGGAGAAAAGAAATTGGGTTTAACATCAACTGGACACAAACTAGGTCATTTTGGGACAATATATGATGATGCATATATTTGGTCATCTTTACAAATTTTATATATTCAATTCAGTTGTCATCAAGGATGATTTTGACTTGAGAGAGAAATGAGGTTTAATGTCCACTCGAGACAAACTAGCTAATTTTGGGATTAACATATGATACAGTTTTATTTCAATAATTCGCGTGCACGAAAAGAGAGAATCCGTGAGCTTGGACAGACAACACTAGACCATGTTACCTACAAGCATTTAATGGAAACCACGCCACTTTACTGTATGACATACCTTATGATCTAAAGCGCACGCGTTAGACCACTTTTGACTTTTGACTTAACCAGGGAACAAGTTTCACGAATGTCCAATGAAATTTACATGGAATAAATTTCATATGAATATGATATAGTAATGAAATGAGACATATTTTAGCTCTCGGGTTGTCAATAGCCGCAGAGGGTTCGCAGCAGCATCTCCAGTACTTTCTTGTGGCTGGAAATGTTCCGTGGAGAACCGGACAACCAGTCACAAACTGTTACGTTGTCCGTGACTTGAAGAAATTGAAGTGTTTCTGAGGGATGTTCATGATTGCGTGTGTAACAGGTTTTAAGGGCGGGGGGTAGATGATCCAGTGGCATTGAGCCATACACACATGATCAGCATGACGACACATGCTAAAATTGATTACCGTTACATTTTTCAAATTAACAATGGATGGAATTTTAGAATTGCATATGTACACATATAATAGTATGGCATTGTTCAACGGGTGCGGAATTCACAGTCGACTATCTTTAAATGCCCGCTGATTATCACCTTTTCTTCCATAGTTGGTTACTTGAACATTCCAAATAGGTTATTTTGGTCAAGCATATTTTAGGAATTAGACCGCGCTTAGAAGCCGATTGGTGTATAGAAACATTTGGAAGTTTTAATGGAGAGTTATTGAAAATCAGCTGACGGTCTGCTAAACAAGGACACCGCCAGATATTAAATGCCTCTCCATGAACACTTAAAAATATTTTTTCTTGTGGTTCTTCTTACATGAGAATGTGGATAACAGAAGTTTATGACCGTCATGGCAGCCCATAAATCTATACGATGATCTGCTCCTAAATACAAATCTTAATAACCATGGTATAATCACTGCAAAATTATGAATGACTTATGACCTTCCCCTCGGCCTTCATTCGAGCGTGAAAGCTGATTTTGTTACGAAAATGTTATGAATTTTTACCAAAATACCCTATTTGACAGACATGTTCAAATAACGAAACATGTAGTAGTAGTAGTAGTAGTAGTAATGGGGATGATCAGTGGTCATTTGAAAAGAATTGTTGGTCATTGGTGAAAAAGCGCTGCTTTGGTTAGATTGTGCAGATATGAAAGTTTGCCATGCCAGTCCATTCATTTATACACTTCCCTGCTACTAACCACAGAATACAAATGAGAATAATCGTTGTCTAATTCTGCGATGATCGTGAACGTCCCATTTTGTCACAAAATGACACATTTAACCAAAATATCATATTTGGCACGAGGAACGCTGAAATAACAAAATATGGTACTAATGTTGATAACTGATGGACATCTGAACTCTTTAAGATACTCGTCGTCATCAGTAAAAGAAGAATTGCATGGAAAAGACTGATTTAACACATTTTCAGAATATTGTAACACACTAGTGGGTTTAGTGCCGGTCAGTTTGTTTCTTCTGACATATACTTGGACGAATGCCCTTCATAACCACACCCATCAGTTCTAGGTCAGACCCGCCAAGAAGCAGCTACATTCGTTTTAGGATGATATGGTTTTCAGAATACGTAAAATTACCACTTTAAGATAACTCACAGAAAATTCCATGGAATTCATTTATTCCCAAACGACTGCAGGATTTTAAGTCAACCACTTACTTGGCCTATCATACCTGACCAATATCAAAATTTTAGCGTCACAACATTTCGAGTAGGAGCTTTTTGAAATTTGGGCAAAAAATTGGTCGCAATATGGCAAATTTTGACCAAAAACAACAATTTCCAGTTATACCGGAAGTTGTCATTTATTTATTTTTTTCACTGCATCGCATGACCAAGTATGATTGAAAATTACTGACCCCCAGGGCTATCAGACGCGTTCTTATAATAAATTATTTATTAGAGATTGTCTCCTTGTTATTATATTGCTTTATATAATTATATTTTTATACACGATCTATTTTTGAAAGCTGTTTTACCTTTCAAATATATTCTGATGATTTGGGTAGATAAAATACATGTACCGTCATGAAATACAGAGGTTCATACCGCTAATATGCTTTTATAAATTCAGATCGAGGTAGTTGTTCAATGGGTGTAGTTACATCAGCGACAGCCAGATTACATAATATTAGTAATAGTGAAGAGTCAGATATCAAAGACATTTTTAAAATTTTAGCAGCAGAAAATATGGTGAATGAAAAGCATGTACCATGGGTTCGATGGATACCTCTTGCTCAGTGTATGTTAGGTTCATTTTTATACGCCCACGCGGAAATGTGGTCGTATATTGCTATCGCCCTCGTCCGTCCGTCGGTCTGTCCGTCCACCCGATCCGTGGTCTACAATCTCTATGTTTATGACCCTTGTATCACTTTGTTTAACCTTGTGACAGCTTGAACGACAAGTTATTATCCGATCTGCACATAATCTATATGCATCATTTAAATTAGTGAAACGAAGAATCCTATTACATTTCAGCAATTTATGTCAATTACTTCATGTGTTATGGCTCTTGTTTTACTTTGTTGAACCTTGTAAACACTCGAACGACAAAAGTTATCATCCGATCTGTATGAAATTTATATGCATTATTTAAATTAGTAAAACGAAAAGTCTGTCGACTTTCAACAATTTTTGTAAATTGCTCCTAGCGTTAAGCCCTTTGTTTCAGTTTGTATATTCTTTAAAACCCTCAAACGACGAATATTACAAACTGATCAGTATGCAATTGTCTTGTAAATTACCCCATTACCTACAAATAATAAATATGCGACAACCCTTGTCGACCGCGCGGAGGATTTACCTGCTGTGGGCTTATGTTTCATTGCCTAGCAACCTATAGTTTTCTTATTGTATTAAAGCCACAAAGCGACAGAAGGCCAATAATTGTTTTTTTAAATTCCCGCATTTCAGTGTGGGCGTATTATGTCATCACCCTGTCCGTCAGTCTTGTCAGCAATTGGCTACAGTTTTTGACTGGACGAATCCAACATTCTGCAACCTTTCATACCATTGACAGTTGATGAGAGGATGAATCCTGTTGACTTGTATAATACATAATATTGATTTTCAACAAATCTGCGACTTCCCATTTTGGAGTTATCCCCACTTTGCGAAAACCTTGTGAACGCGATAGTGGCTACAATTTTCGATAGATTCTTTTCAAATTTGGTGTAAAGCATTGTGGTCATTAGAGGACGAAATACTAACCCTATCGACATTCATCATTGACAGTTGATGAGAGGAAGAATCCTGTTGATTTGTATGATACATAATATTGATTTTTAACATTCTGCGACTTTCCGTTTTGGTGTTATCCCCTTTGCAAAAACCTTGTGAGAGCGATATAGGCTACGGTTTTCGATGGAATCCTTTCAAATTTGGTGTGAAGCATTGTGGTCATTAGAGGACGAAATACTAACCCTATCGACATTCATCATTGACAGTTGAGAGGAAAAATCCTATTGATTTGTATGATACATAATATTGATTTTTAACATTCTGCGGCGACAGTTTTCGATGGATTCTTTTCAAATTTGGTGTGAAGCGTTGTGGTCATTAGAGGACGAAATACTAACCCCATCGACATTCATCATTGACAGTTGATGAGAGGAAGAATCCTATTGATTTGTATAATACATAATATTGATTTTTAACATTCTGCGATTTTCCATTTTGAAGTTATCCCCCCTTTGCGAAAACCTTGTGGACGCGATATAGGCTACAATTTTCGTGGGATTCTTTTCAAATTTGGTGTGAAGCATTGTGGTCATAAGAGGCTGAATGCTATCGATATTCAGCGTTGTACGACTTTCCACTCCAAAGTTTTCTACCCTTTGCCGAAGATCTTGTGAACGCGATTTAGACTACAGTTTTTAACGCATTCTTTTTAAATTTTGTGTGAAGCACTGTGGTCATAAGAGGACGAACGCTATTCATATTTAACGCTCTACGCCTTTCGTTCCGAAGTTTTTCTCCCTTTGCGATAGATACTTTAGTTTTTAAAGGGCCAATGTCGATTATATTTTGGAGAATAAGACTGCTTAATTGTCCCCCGTCTTTCGAAGAAAGCAGGGGACTATTAAACTGGTTTCGTCAGTCTGTCTGTCCGTCACACTTTTTGGGACACAATAACTCTCTTTCTAATTGAGCTACAATGTTCAAACTTGGTATAGGTGTTTATTAGGTCAATGCCTTCATGGAGTTCGAAGATGAGCATTTTCGGCTTACGGTAAGCAGAGATAAGCAATTTGATTGGTTGATGCTTTGGGACACGATAACTTTAGTTTTAATTAAGTGAGAGTGATGAAACTTGGTGTATAGTTTCATTACATCAATACCTTGACTAAGTTTGATAATGAGCATTTTCTGCTCAGGGTAAGCAGAGCGATAATCAATTTGGAACACAATAACTCTCATTGTAATTGAGTTAGAATGGTCACACCTGGCATAGGTGTCTATTAGGTGAATGCCTTGGTGGAGTTCGAAGATGAGAATTTTCGGCTTAGGGAAAGCAGAGATAAGCAGTTTGTTTGGTTGATATACAGGAGACACAATAATTTTAATTAAGTGAGAGTGAGGACACTTGGAGTATAGCTTTATTACATCAATACCTTGACTAAGTTCGATTATGAATATTTTCTGCTGAGGGTAAGAAGAGCGATAAGCAATTTCATTGGTCGAGACTTTGGAACACATTAACTCTCGTTCTCATTGATGTAGAATGTTTAAACTTGGTGTAGGCGTTCATTAGGTGAATGCCTTGGTGGATTGTCTGATGAAGATTGTCTGCTTACGGTAAGCAGAAATAAGCCATCTGATTGGTTGATGCTTTGAGGCATGATAACTTTGGTTATAATGAAGTGAGAGCGATAAAACTCTGAATATAGATTCATTACATCATGACCTTGACTAAGTTCGATGATGCGAATTTTCTGCTTAAGCAAAGGAGCAATAAGCAATTTCATTGGTCAAGACTTTGGAACATAACAACTCTGCTTTCAATTGAGGTAGAATGTTTAGACTTGATCTAGATGTTCATTAGGTGAATGTCATGACTGAGTTCAATGATTAACATTTTGAGCTGCAGCTAAGTAGAGCAAATCAATTTCATTGGTCAATGCTTTGGGACAAGATAATCTTGATTCTATCTGATAGAGAGTGATGAAACTTAGTGTATAGTTTGATTGCTTGATACTTTTGAAAAAAAATAAATGTGCGATTAATTAACCCTTCCTGAGCTAATTTTATAGTCTGTCAGAGCGGCACCCCCCTTACTCCCCTGTAAAAGCATGGTTTTTAACCTTAGATGGTGTATAACACGAGTTTTTATTACGAGGGGGCTTCCTCTATTGACGGAACAACCATCAATAGTCAGAACAGCCGAGGAATGGCGTCCTTCACAACAAAAAGACTTCGGCTGAATTTAGCCGTGAGTTCCGATGTCGATGACGTCACGTCTATATTGGATTCGGGTAGTGACTATACTATTAGTGGGGATTCTTCTTGTGATGAAAATTCAGATGTTTGTCACAAAGTAAAGACGCAAAAAAGGGAGACTTCTCCGGAGGAAATTATTCGTCTGCTTTTATACAGTCGCGCACGTAGATCGCTACCAATATAGACGTATACGATATGGTCAACTTGGTTACCATGGCAACCTTAATGTGAATATTTCGGTATATATTATTGTTATTTTCCAAATATTTAATTTATTTTTATTTTATTGTTAATAAAAACTTGTTACTGATGATTTTTATATGTGTGTTGCCTACCGCAAAATTGTCAATACTGCTCGTTTACATTTTATTATTTTTAGAAAAAAACATTATTATCACAATTTAGTGACTTTTCCCCAAAAACCTATACTATTCTTACAAAAGAGATATCTATCATGTTAATAATCCATATAGCTTTATTCCTGACCATCTTGAATTTTTTAATGACAAGAAAATATCCAATATTTCATTTATGACAATAATATGGCAGCCATTTTGAAACACACTGGTAACCATAGTAACCATAAAATCTAAACTAAACATATGCAAAAATCCCAAGTCATATATAATGGATAAACATTTGCAATTTTACAGTTGTAGTCGCATTCATATTCAAGGTATGCATGGTTTTTCACAACAGGGTCTAAAGCTTGATTTTTACTCAATATTTGCATAGCCCTCTATGGGTATGAAGTGGTTAGCTCAGGAAGGGTTAATGTGTGTCATCTATTTATTTTGGGATTTAGGCGGGGGACATCAGCCTCACTGTTGGCTTGTTTTGTGTGAAACGCCCTTAAAAACCTCAATCCTAAGGCCGAGCAACTAACTCCATATACGTGATATGTTTTCAAACAAGTTAAACCCGTCAGTTTTTAATGGGCCAATCTCGATTATATTTTGGAGAATAAGACTGCTTACTTTTGTTTGAAAAGCCCTTAAAAACCTCTATCTTAAGGCCGAGCAACTAACTCCATATACGTGATATGTTTTCAAACAACTTAAACCCGTCAGTCTTCATATGGAAATAGAGGCCGGTGTCCCAAGCTGTATTATATGGTGTCTGGATAAAATCAGACTTTTATAATAAAAAAAATCAGGTGTAGGTGAAATTTACCGTTCGCTATCAATTACAAAACATGCATCACGCACTGTTTTGACCTCTAAAAGTACGGTAATTGATTATAAGGGTACCTTGACTAAGTTCGATAGTGGGCATTTTCTGCGCATTTTAAGCAGCGATAAGCAATTTGATTGGCCGATCATACGCATTTTCCACTTAGGCTAAGCAGATATAAACAATTTAATTGGTTGAGAACAAATGGTGTCACTTTTATGAAAATCGAATAATAATTGACTCTTTTACAGGCAAAATAACATGAAAAGTGACTCATGGAAAATTGCCTATTTCTCTTGCTCATATTACAAACTAATTTTGACATACATCGTCTTCGTATGGATTAATGCTACAAGTTTATGTAAGTTACCAAGAAATATTTTAAAATATGAAAAGCCTGAATGCATTGTAAAAAGCTCATTTTACATCGTTCACCTTTAAATCGAAATGGCGCAAAAACAAAATCGAAATTAAAAAAACTGACTCCGACTTCTTTTCGCCTTTACAGGGCACACCATTTTACTTATGTCGACTTAAAAATATAATATTTTCTTTCGAAAAGAGGTACAGACCTGTCAAAATTGTAGTTTTTAGTAAAATTACCCCACTTCCAGTGCCGGCAGGAAACTTTATCGGTAACAAAAAAAAATGACACATGGGGCCACAGAGCCTATGAATTTCGTTTTATACAAATCGAACAATAAGAAATTAATCTAGGACCGAAAAACTGAATTAACCAATGGCGGCTAACTCAAATTACTGAGAGAAAGATTTTTCACATTTCTGCTCAAGTTAGATGACTCTTTAATCCTGTGTAAAATAGGCCCCTACCATCAAAATATTCATAAGTAAAAAAAAAAAAATCTTCTAAATTTTGCGCCTTTGATTAGATGACCCTTTATAGACTGGAGGCTCAGCGCGGGGAGGTGTCCATCAAATGGGCACAAAACCAAGCCCAGCTTTTCTGTAGTAAAATTTTGCCTAGAATAAGATGCCGGGTGGTAATCAGTCCGCCGTTTAGGCGTTTTCGAGATATTCGGGGTCAAAGGTCAAATGAGGTCATTTGCACTGAAAGTGAATGTGCAGCCATTCTTGTATCATGAAAATATGCTAAAAATGATCGAAAGAAATCACCCTTTCAATAAAAATGTAAACTTGCTAAATTCAACTTCAATCTTAGTGACCCCGGCGGTCAAAAGGTGAAATTTTCAGTTTCTGAACTAGGAAGATTTAAAGCAATAAAATATATAAAACTAAAGCAAAACCTGTTCTAAATAGTAGGAATAGTTAAAACTTAATTTTAGGTGGTCTTAGCACGGTACATTTACTTTGGAACGTCGAAAAATCATTTTAATCAAAATGAAAAAAGAAAAATTATAATAATCCGAACAAAAACAATAGTGTTTCACACAAGCTACGCAGTGTAAATCCCTAAAAACAAAATCAGTAATTTCCGCTCGTTCATATCTCCCGCGATCAATGGACGTAACTCCATTGAAGGTTTCTATATGTTTGTTTATCACCACCTACAGGCCACAATTCTTAGTGGATCATTTTGAAACTTTGCATACGTTTTCCTTAAACACAAAGGATCACCCCTATTGTTTTTCGTGCTTGCCCAACCCCCAGGGGCAGAGCCACGCCAATTTTCTTTTTGTGTGACTGTATGTCGCCTACATACCGCAATTGTTAATGGATCGTTTTGAAAACTTTTCATACTTATTCCTTATACCCTAAGGATGACCTCTATTATTTTTGGTGCATGCCCTGTACCCTGGGACAGAGCCACGCCCAACTTTATGTGTGTCTTTGTTTTGGCTATAGGCCACAATTCTTAACATATCCTTTTGAAACTGTGCATACCCATTCATTATACCCTAAGGGTGATCCCTATGGTTTTTGGTCAACGCCCAGGTGTTGGGCCACATCCATTTTTATACGCCCACATTTTCATGTGGACGTATATTGTCGTCGCCCCTGTTTGTCCGTCCGTCCGTCCGTCCGGACGTCCGTCCACAATTTGTTTGTGGACACTCTACAGGTCACAATTTTTATCTGATTTCAACGAAACTCGAAATATAGCTTTATCTCCCTAAGATCTTGGTTCTTTTCGATATTGGTATGTATCGGACCATAACTTCATGGATTATGACCCCTGATTGTACGAAAAATCGCATTTTTAGCTTGTGGACACTCTAGAGGTCACAATTTTTATCCGATTTTGATGAAACTTGAAATGTATGTTTATAACCCAAAGATCTTGGTTCCTTTCGATATTCGCGCATATCGGATTGTAACTTCCTGAATTATGGCCCCTGATTGTACGAAAAATCGCGTTTTTAGCTTGTGGACCCTATAGAGGTCATAATTTTTATCCAATTTAAAAAAACGTATTATTATATCACCGTTACACCCTCAGGACGGCTGAATTCGAAGTTCGTGAAAATCGGCCCCAAACTGACAGACAAAATGGCCGCCCTTCGTTCTCAAATAACGTAAAAATATGGTATATCAAGGTTGTGGACCCTATAAAGGTCACATTTTTTATCCGATTTTGTTGAAACTTGAAATGTAAGTTTATAACCCACAGATCTCGGTTCATTTCGATATTCGCGCATATCGGACTGTAACTTCCTGAATTATGGCCCCTGATTGTACGAAAAATCGCGTTTTTAGCTTGTGGACCCTATAGAGGTCATAATTTTGATCCGATTTAAAAAAACGTATTATTGTATCACCGTTACACCCTAAGGACGGCTGAGTTCGAATTTTGTGAAAATCAGCCCAAAACTGAAAGGCAAAATGGCCGCCCTCGTTCTCAAATAGCGTAAAAATATGGTATATCAAGGTTGTGGACCCCATAGAGGTCACAATTTTTATCCGATTGTGTTGAAACTTGAAATGTAAGTTTATAACCCAAAGATCTCGGTTCCTTTCGATATTTGCGCATATCGAATTGAAATTTCCTGAATTATGGCCGCTGGTTTCTTTGTGTGTCAGTGTGTTGCCTGCAGGTCACAATTTTTAATGGATCGTCTTGCAACTTGGTATATGTATTCCTTATAGCCTAAGGACGACAACTATTAATGTTGGTGCATGCCCCGACTCCCAGGGGTAGAGCCACGCCCAATTTTTCATATACTGTCCGCGATTATGAATAGATCATCTTGAAACTTGGCACATGTATTCCTTATAGGCTAAGTGCGGCACTATTGATTTTGGTGCATGTCCCGACCTCAGGGGCAGAGCCACGCCCAAATTTTGTGTTTAGCGTCTGAAGGCCACAATTCTGAATGGATTATCTTGGAACTCGGTATACTCTGCTTAGGGTAAGCAGAGATAAACAATTTGATTGGTTGATGCTTTGGGACACGATAAGTTTAGTTCTAATTAAGTGAGCGTGAGGACACTAGTTGTGTCTGTCAGGTAGTCGAGGTGAAAGGAGCGTTTTTAGTGAGCGGAAGAGTTCAGTCAACTGTGACGATACATTCGTTCAATTCTGTTGGATTTTAGTAGTTTTAAAGTCTATATTTTTACTGTGAATATGTCTTCAAGTAAGCGAAAGCATAATAAGGTTGATTCTATTGCCTCAGATATAATGGAGAAGAAGAAAAAAACAGACAAAGCGACAGGTCAGAAAATGGCGACCATCAAAGAAAATGATTCAAATATGGCGGGACACGAACTTTTACCAGAGAACATTAACAGTGAATTAACGTTTGATTTCCAAGGTTTTTCTGAAAATATATCCAAGTCGTTTGAACGCCTTAACGACAGGATGGACTTACTTGAAAATAACATTGAGAAGAAATTAACTGACAAGATCACGGAGTCAATCAGAACAACAATAGAAAAACTTGTTAAAAGTCGTGTAAACGAGGAAATTAGTATAATGAAGGGTGAATTCGTAAAAGAGATGGATGTTATGAAAGCTGAAATTGAGAGGTTAAAGTCTTCAAAATTCGTACGACTCGGCAATAACAATAATTACACGTCTGATACACTGGATGATAGCAGACGAACAAATATTATGATAAAAGGACTGTATGAAAGTGAGGGGGAAATGAATAATCCCGATTACACTTTAGATAAAGTAAATGATCTCATCCACGATGGTTTAAAGCTAAGAACAGTTAATGTGATCAACGTTCAACGAAAGGCGAGTCGCGGTACTCACCCCGGAGTTGTAATAGCGACCGTAGAAACTATCGAACAGAAAAAACAAATTATGGAAAATAAATCTAGTCTTCTTCGTAGCAAAAATCATTACAACATTTACATCGAGAATGATTTACCACCAGCTGTTAGATATCAACAGAATAACCTAAGAACCATCTTAAAGGAAACCGGTCTCACCAGACGCTACCGAATTCAAGGAACCAGAATTGTCCCTAACACCTCTTCGAGTTCGCGTGTACCCCGCGCATAGGAATTACTACATCTGGGTTGTTGGAATATTAATGGATGGTCAAAGCATAATAATGATAATTCTTCTTTCAGACATAGTGTGATAGTGTCTAATAATTTTGACATTTGTGGTGTATGTGAAACATTTTTATGCGATGATGATTTTATAAACGTGTCTGGATATAAATTCATTTATAATAATAGAGGTAATTTACATAAAAGAGCAAAAAGAGGCTCTGGAGGTGTTGGTTTTTTAATAAAAGAAAGTATTTATAGTTTTATGGATATATCAATTCTCGACGATTCCTACGAGGATATATTGTGGATCAAGTTGAGCTCCAAATCTTGTGATTTTAAAATGTGTCTGTGTGTATGTTACCTGCCACCAACAGGATCTTCTCGTATGCCAGACCCAGATCTGTTTTTCTTAACACTATCTCAACAAATTTACAGTTATCAAAATCAAGGATTATTGTGTATTTGTGGTGATTTCAATTCACGTATTGGAAATAATAGTGACTTCATTGAGGGTGTCGACGATGTCTCATCAAGATCATGTGTGGATACGACTGTTAACCATTATGGTGACTTATTACTAGATTTTCTAATAGATAATAATATGTGTATGCTAAACGGACGAGTTGGTTCTGGAAATGATTTCACGTGTATATCTATAAAGGGCAAGTCAGTTGTGGATTATGTATTCGTTCCCCATGAACAGTTATCGATTTACACTGAGTTTAAAGTTAAAACAGTTACTGATATAATTAATGAACACAATTTAGCTGTGCCGATTACTACACCAGATCACTCTGTTCTTCAGTGGTCAATGAAGACACCTGAATTATTGTTACCGAACATCAATAAAAACGAACCCAAGCGATTAGCAAAAGTGAACTCTTATAATGTGAAAAACTTTCCATTAAATTTCTTACAGAATGAGTCTACTCAACAGATGATACACGAAACAATAGCCAGAATAGAAGATGAAATTTTTGGAAACCAAAGTGTGAATTCAGCTTATGAAACTCTTGTGAACTTTCTCAAAGTAGAAATGGATAATTGTGGATTAAAGAGAACTATTCCCTCGGGTGACACGAACAAAAGTAAAAGTGTGTTTAAACCTTATTGGGATGAAACATTGCAAGCTATGCGTGACGATATGTGCAGGAAAGAGAAAGTATGGTTAAGATGTAAACATAATAGCGCTGAGAGACAACTATTCAAACGAGAGTACTGTGACAGTCGTCGAGACTTCGACAAACTTCACAGGAAATATAAGAGACGTTATCAGCTACAAAAGCAACAAGATTTAACAGACAAGCTGATGAACCCAGGTGTTAAACACACACGTGATTTCTGGAAAACGTTCGGAAAGATCGGAACAGTGAATGACCGAAAGATAAGCTTACCCCTTGAAGTCATTGATGATAATGGAACAATCAACAGTGATCTAAACGATGTATTGAACAAATGGAAAACAGATTATAGTGAACTATATAATAGTGAACACATTAACTTCGATGAACAACATAAACAGTCAGTCAAAGAATATTATAAAACTTTGTTTAATATCGATATGAACAATGCAATTCTAAACGAAGAAATAACAAAAGATGAAGTGAAAGATGCTATATCACGACTCAAACGAGGAAAAGCCGTCGGGTTTGACGATATTCCATCAGAGGCTTTAAAAAACACTGTTTGCATCGACATGTTATTCAACATAATTTCGTATTGTTTTGAAAATGGAACTGTACCGGAGCTTTGGACGACAAGGATTATAAAACCCATTGTTAAAGCGAACTCTACTCACCCTCTGGTCCCTCTCACCTATCGTGGATTAACACTCTTATCTGTGCCAAGTAAAGTGTACTGTGATATTCTCAATAAGAGGCTAGCTAATTGGACTGAATCACAGAATCTGTTGGTGGATGAACAATGCGGTTTTCGAGAAAAACGTAGCTGTATGGATCAACTGTATACCCTACACAGTGTCATTAATAACAGGAAAAATGTCAAGCAGTCCACATTTGCATGCTTTATAGACCTGAAGAAAGCGTTTGATAATGTCGATAGAGAGTGCTTGTGGTTTCAACTGTTGCAATTTCGTGTGAACGGGAAGATATTAAATGCACTGCGTTCGTTGTACAATAACACAAAGTGTGCGGTCAACGTAAACAACCATTTAACAGATTGGTTTGACGTGACTTTAGGTGTGAAACAAGGTTGTCTGCTTTCGCCCTCTTTATTCGCAATATATATTAACGATCTAGCTCAAGAAATAAAGAACCTCAATTTAGGTATAGATATCGATGGATTTAACTTAAGTATTCTTTTATATGTGGATGATATTGTGTTGTTAGCCACTTGTGAAAAGAACCTTCAACTGATGTTAAACTGTGTTAATGAATGGTGCTATAAATGGCGTTTACAGATCAATAACTCCAAATCAAATATTTTACACTTCAGAACTGTAAACACTGAAAGGTCAAAGTTCGAATTTAAATGTGGACAGGAAACTCTTTTGTACAGTGAGAAATATAAATATCTAGGACTTTGGTTTGACGAACATTTGTGTTATAAAATAGCGGTTAAAGAATTAGCTAAATCAGCCAGCCGTGCTTTAGGGGCTCTCGGAAATAAATTCTTTGCACTTGGAGGAATGTCGTTTACTGTATTCAATAAGCTATATGAATGTCTAGTTGAACCTGTTTTGTTGTATGGTGCTGCCATCTGGGGAACTAGTGAACACAGTGCGATTAACAATGTGCGTACAAGAGCTTGTAAGCTATTTCTAGGTCTACCAAAACGCAGCTCTAACGTAGCCGCATACGGAGATGTGGGGTGGATAACTTCAAAAACTAAACAAGCGCTAGAAGTGTTTAAGTGGTGGCATAAACTTAAAAAGAGTGATCCGGACAGACTAGTGTTCAAGGTCCATCAATGGTCATCGCGAATATCCAAGTCATGGGAGAAACGCGTCCTCACATTAGCCAAAACATTTAATGTCTCTAATGAGATCGCTCAAGCGCATACTAATTGCTCATCAAAACTGTTCATCAAATCTATGTGTACTAAGGTTTTTAATTATGATGAATTCGTATGGTTTAGTAAATTGTGGAATGACAGACAAAATGTTTTAAATGGAAATAAACTGAGAACTTATAGACTGTTTAAAAAGGATTTGTATCCAGAATTTTATGTAACATGTGCTTTGACCAGACAACAACGTAGTGTTATTGCCAAACTCAGATGTGGAGTTCTCCCCCTTGCCATAGAAACTGGTCGTTACTGTAAGCCCCCCATTCCTTTAAAAGATCGTATCTGCCCTCTTTGTAATATAGAAATTGAAAACGAAATTCATTTTTTAATTAATTGTGAATTTTTAGATGATATTCGATACAAACTTCTTAATGCCTTCAATTTTGATGATTTTATAAATTCTGATTCTATGAACAATTTTTTAACCATCATGATGTCTTCAGAAAATATTCCTTTAATTGCTAATTGTATTTTAAATATGCTCAAAACTAGACGATTTTACTTGTAAATATATCAATGACTTTTAATTTAATGTATTTAGTCCGTTCAAAGATACTGTTGACTTTTGTCTTAATGTACATATTTTTTTTTTTTTTTTTTTTTTTTTTTAGATCGTGTCTCATAAGTCGATAACGGCTGGGTATTATTCATCACTTTTATTGTAATTGTATGTTTGTATGTATATTTTGGATGTAATACGTGACACGTAAATAAAATAAATTATTATTATTATTATTATGTATAGTTTTATCACATCAATACCTTGACTAAGTTCGATAATGAGCATTTATTGTTCACGGCATGCAGAGCGATAAGCAATTTGATTGGTCGAGACTTTGGAACACAATAACTCTCCTTCTAATTTTTTTAAACCAACCTCATGAAAGAAGTAGTCAAACTTTGGGTGACGAAAAATGGGGAATTTAGATAGGCTTTGATATCCAGTCCGTATACAGATCTCGTTCGCCAGAATCGTGTGAAATTAATTTTGTGATAACAGCAGTAGGTCCAATCTGTTTCACAGAGATCTTTTAATATCTCTGTAACAGATGACTGTTTCGACACGTGACGTCACATCACGCGGCGTCAATCATTGGTTCAATAGCGCGTGCATTGTTTACATAAGACGTTACTGATTCAGGCTAAATGGTGAATTTTACTTATTTTAATACACATTTACACTAAATAGGAAATGATTTTTACCTACAAATAATTCAAACGTCTTTATTTATTTTTCTAATAAATGAAAAAAATGTTTTTGAATTTAATTTGACGGAAGAAAAAAGTTAATATTTGGGATTAATTAAGTCGCATCGATGTCTTCCTTATCAGTGATTGTAGCGGCCTAGCGAAAATTCTCTGCTGATCAGTGTACAGTAGGTCATCTACAAACTTTGTGAGTTTGGTCTTCTTGCTACGTATAGTATAGGTGTGAGGACTTGCCAAATGTGGTATTTGAAAAAAACAACAAATTTCACCATATGAAAAATGTTTTTTTTTTCAATTTACTCATTCGGGAATTGAAAGATTTATCTGATATTGCACATTTATGTGTTTTGGGAGTATCCCAACTTATAAACCAAATTTGGTCAAAATCTGTGATTGAAGCCTTAGCACCTTTTGCATGGTGTTCTCGTGGACACGCTCTTAATTAAGTGAGAGTGATGAAACTCCCAGTATAGATTCATTATATTATTACCTTGACTAAGTTCGATGATGAGAATTTTCTGCTTAGGCTAAGGAGCGATAAGCAATTTGATTGGTCAAGACTTTGGAACATAACAACTCTGCTTTTTATTGAGGTAGAATGTTTAAACTTGATGTAGATGTTCGATGAAACTTAGTGTATAGTTAATAATCAGTTTGATTGCTTGATACTTTTGAAAAATATAAATGTGCTATTAATTAATATTTGTGTCATCTATTTATTTTGGGATTTCGTCGGGGGACATCGGTCTCACTATTGGCTTGTTTTCTTTCCGCTTGTACCTTCATTATTACACAACAAACGGCCGGACTGTTACTTCACACAAGGAACAAGTGTGCAAAGTCTTAATAAGATTGGTGGTGAAAAGTTAGTGCGTATCTTAGACTGCACAACGCCTTTAATCACCTTTTCAATGACCTTTGAAGGACGTAGACTTGGATTCACGAATAAGTTCTTGAATTTTAATTTCTGCATTTTGATATTTTTGCTGCGAATAGAATCAATCCTATTAGTGAAGAAATCCTAAAGTCATTTGCGAGCAAGACATCATCTTTAGAAAATGGGAGAACAACATCTGAACCTTTTCTAAGTAAGGAATAGATAAAAGAAAACAAGGTCTTGGGGTTACTGGAGTTTTGTTCTGTCTTTTCATTACAATATTTAGATATGGTATTCTTGATCAGAACGTTGACATCATTTTGGGCGCTTTTATAGATTCGTCTATGGACTTTAAGGGTGGCCTATGACTCAGGTTTTGTTGTATAACAACATAATTCAACTATATGCCAAACATATAGCTGTCATTTGGTAATTAGTGGATTTGCCAATCTAGGTGATAATCCAAGTCAATACCATTCTTTGACAACTTAAGAAATCAGTTTGATAATTTTAATTCAGAAAATCAAACTTGGTAATATTTTACTTTTAGAAATTAAGTAACGATAGTACGATATTTTCCATAATCTCTGTATTTTAGATCGACTAAATACTCAAGTAAAAGTTTTAAATGAAAAGACACCATATCAGGTTATATTTAAACAATTACCTAGAAGTATTAGTTTATATAAAACACCAGATGAAAATGAAGATTCTGTGATTATGAGTATTAATACAGGTAATATATTTTAATGACAGGTATTTTACTTTTTTGTCAATTACATGTTCTTTATATAGATTAAAACAATTAAATTTGTTTTACAACTTGTTAAGTGTGCATTAGATTATAAGTGTATAAGTGAACAATATGGTAGTCTCGAAATTACCTGGTTTGTGTCGTGTGGACGCTAAACTCCGTTTCTCTCTCTTTCATAGCGGATTTGCATTAATCCATATACCCTGGTTTATGGAAAAGTTTAGGAATCGCTTGGCGATTGCTCAGCTTCATCTTGAAGAATTAAAGTAATAAGGCCATCTCCATCCTCCAATTCCTTTGCATCAAAAAAGAACAGATGTTCAAATAAAGTCCAATCAGCCTTATGCAACTTCCAGCACTGAGGTCTTTTGACAGGAGAGGCACCACTGTTGTAAATTAATATAGGGAAGTGGTCACTGCCACATAGATCATCATTCACTCTCCACGTAAAATCTTGACAAGCAGTGGGTTGATGTAGATAAGTAGGCATTTGCGCAAGTCATCATTCAACAAGAATAAATTATTATTTTTAATGAATTCAGTTGTTTTATTTTAAGTAAGAACTAGACTTTCAGAAGGAAAAAAAAAACCTGCTATGCTCTATACTGGTTCCTGGGATAAGAGTCACCCAGTTGCGAGGGTCGCAATTAGTTAATTGAACAGTCGATTTTTATTTCAAGCCCATTTCACTTCCATGGTATCTATATTTTGGTAGGCGACCTTAAATCCGTGACCAATTTTCGGGGAAGTTGTTTTGAAGGTGGTTTCTATTTGAAAAAAACCATGCTGAAGCCATTAAGATTGGGTGCCTCTCTCTAAAATGCTGGCGGAATCCGCTGAAGGGTCAAATTCAAAATGGCGGCCAAATTATTTAATATAGGCTCCTGAGGTCTCTATTCGTATGTATAAGGGTCTCTTAATCGACATATTGTAATCAAAAATCCATCCGGCTACTAGTTTTGCCAATAATTATGGCCGCCATTTTTGGCCTGGAAAATGGTGTTGTTAACTATACCCATGTTGTGTTTTTTCGGGGTCAAGATATTCAATTTTGATGAATTTGTGTCGATATACGGCAAACAGCAATAAGAGTGAAAGAAATGAAGGTACTCACCGATATTTACCTCCTGATATACTCTGTTCTCAATTGATTTTAATTTAATCAACGCTTGATAATGGATCCATGTAATATATAATCACGCACGATAAATGGACATCATCAACTTATCCACTTAAAGTCAAAGTGTTACTCTTCAGAATCACAGGCACACGATTCAAAAGATAGATCCAGTTTTTATTGATCAGATTCAGATTGTTCATCCGAAGTTGAAGTTTCGTCGGAATCTTCATTACTTGCACTATCACTGCCATGAACAAGTAAGTCACTTAAACGTCCTGGTAATGCTGGATTCTCATAATCTAATTGGCACGCACTGTCTGGATTGGAGCAGTTTTCAACTATTACCAATGGGAGAGTGTGTGTTCTTAGACTTTGAGTAATTAAGCATTAAATATGCCTGAAAATTAGCTCTGGTTAGTTTAAAAATACATTATGAAGGGGCTAAATCTGCCTATTGCAGGTCTTTCTTTAGGCCTGAAATCTTTTCTAAATTATTAATTAGACATTAACTTATCCAGGCCATAATCAACTCTCGATGGCCTCTGATTTCTTCGATATTAAATAGATTAGAACAGTTCAGCCATATTTTGATTTAAGCTAAAAATGGAGGAGCGAGACTTAGCTTCGAACAACCAGTACAGTGGTTGAAATTATTGCACACGTCTTGTCAAACTTTCAGAGGCTAATATCTTCGCTCGCAATAGAGTAATTTGAATGAAATTTTCAAATTATTCATTTTACATTATCTATTTTTGAACTATTATAGCAAGAATGGCTAGCTCTTTATCTAAATCTTACATAATGTATCTTTAAGTTTATAAGGCTCCTCTTCAGGTGGTAGCCAGCGAAAGCTTTTTCGAATATGCTTGACCATTTCTTGGCTTTCGCTTCTGTCAATGATGCGCTTTTTTGGTAATTATAAACACAAGTCAGAGTGTATGTTGTCATTTTCTTGATTAGTGTTTGCGTAACAGGAATCTTACTACCAAGTTCTTTCTACAAAGTCGATTTCACCGTTGCGTTGAATATGGTTTTCTTTGATCGTCCAAAAATCTGGTCGCCGTGTCTGCTTCAGAATGCACATGGAACTATTACCTTAACTATTGGCTTAGGAAACAGTTGTTTGCAGTCTATAACTTGAAACATTCTCTTAATACCTAGGGGGGATCACGTGGCTAAGTGGGTAAGACGCTAGCTCGCTAGCCTGGAGGTCGGCTGTTCGATCCCTGCATTGGCCGAGAAAGTTCATCCAGATTTTCCGGCGTGGTTCTCCCTTGTCAGTGATGCAGGACGGAGGGGCTGACAAAGAAAGCTGTCTAGTCGTTCGGATGGGACGAAAAACCGAGGTCCCGTGTACACATTGGCGTGCACGTAAAAGATCCCTTGGCAGTTGGAATTCGATGTAAGAGTAGGCCGTAGTGCCGCTGTCCGGGCAAAATTTCCCTCATAGCACACTGTATGGCGTATGCCCGTCTTCATTAGCCCAGGTTAGGAGCAGAACAGTAAGACGTTAAACTCCATTTCATTTCATTTCTTAATACCTACATTTCCATCTTCGTTCGTGGACACATAAGCC